CAATGGTACGAATTTTTTACCCGCGTGCTTGGCGGACACTTTAAGAGTTTGGTGAAGCTAGTGGAATAGTTCGAAAACTGAGGTATAAATCGAACTCAGCTATGCAACATAATGAGCTCGGATAGAAGACTTTGCTGTCACATCAGATACGACAAGTTTGAACATTCAATGAAGAGAAATAATAATAGACGTATTCATAATGGCGACGAACAAAAGGGTTGGTTTTCTTCTTTTAGTCCATGAAAACCAAAGTTCCAGCATAAAAAGGAAAGAACACAGAAATCGTTTGAGTGGTATTTAAACAGTCCATTGAGACCGAAAGGCGTCGAACGACTCTCTTCTCAATTTTGGTCTGATAACAGTCCGGGCAAACCAATCCGGAAGCAGAACAATCGTTTCGTGGGTGTTTTTCAACGACCTGTCTCGTGATAAGATGGTTTTGTATGGAGGCGTTATGCTTTTTTATAGAGTTGTTTTTTGGTGACTTAAATGTGGAAAAAAAATCCATATTTGCGTGTGTTGTGAGTGTGTTTGAACAAGACATACAAAGAAAGACAGAAAATATTACAAAGACATAAAAACATATCCCCTAAATGTAAGAGGAATTTCGAACAGAGCGTTCAAATCGAATATAGTACGGACTTTGCCGCCACCTATTTTTTATTGCGAGCAACATCAGTTTTGTTCTTCTCTAAAAGGAAGGACTTCAATTTTGATGGAGCCAGAGGGCTCTGGATATTCAGGTATTACCGAATGCCTGATTATCACACACACACACACACATATATATATATATATAGCATAATGAGAAGCCACGTATACTTTCTTCGAGGTCGATCTGAAATAACATTATGTTTTTAATTTGCAACTTCCCCCCTCTCTCTCTCTCTCTCTCTCTCTCTCTCTCTCTCTCTATATATATATATATATATATATATATATATATATATATATATATATACATACATACATACATACAGAGAGAGAGAGAGACAGACAAGTGGTTAGAACGTACGCATTCTGACCATGAGACCTGGGTTCGAATCTCACCATGGTCGATTTGTCAGAAAGGAAACTGCCCGATATTATCGGACTGGAGGGGTCGATCTCAGCGTGCGGCACATTTAGAAAGTGTCTGAAAACTATGCTACGGGTTGGACCAAGCCTTGTGAGTGAAAATGAGTATACAGAACCCTTAGGTCGATAGCCGTGCTAGCACGAAGTCACAAGTCATCTTGCCTGAGAGCTTGAGCGTGCTGACTTTTTTTCAAATTGTTGATCATGCTAGATAATACGATCTTTACAGAAACTGTAACTAAGGTCTGCTCGGCGTAGACTGCGTGACTGGCATCAGTGAAACTTTGCTTGATGTTGTGTGATAACCGTGCTCGATAACCGAAGGCTATCTATCACATATATATATATATATATATATATATATATATATATATAATAAATTCTAAAGAGCCAGGAACTCTGAAGATTCATTTTGGTGAAACCTAGGTAGGTACTTCCTGGCTCTTTAGGATTTATTTTATTTACCTTTGCTCTGTTTAGCGCATTGAACATTCTATGTTTTATCTTAGTTACTCGCTTGTTTGTTTTTTTTCTTTCTCTGGACTGGAAATTTGAAGCACTGCACAAGATTTTTCGATCTATTTGGACGTTTCTAGTTCTTCCTTTTTTTCCAATTTTTTCATCGGAGACCAATTTATTTTGGTATTCCTGCAAATTGTCCCATCCGTATTTTTCACTAGCCGAGTATAATATTTTCCGATCTCTTTTTGAATTTGTAGGTCTGATGAATTAGATCGTGATTACGACCATGGAATATTAGTGTTTGAGCCTTTTATATTATATTTTTACTCTGTCCTGGACATTGAGTTCTACCTGGATTCTATCCTCTTGGGAAGTTATGTATATATAGATAGATATAGATATATATAGATATTGATAATATTAGTAGTCAATATATATATATATATATATATATATATATATATATATATATATATATATATATATATATATATATATATATATATATATATATATATATATATATATGGGGATGTTTTGACATCAAATGAGAGTGTGGGTGTTAGTTTAGTCTAGCAGACTGGTGGCCAAAAGCAAGAACATTCAAATCAGGTGTTTTTCAATGAATTCTTCTATGTCGGTATGGTGTGTTTATTCTACAATTGAAATCGAAGACAAAAACGATTGGCTGTGTATATATATATATATATATATATATATATATATATATATATATATATATATATATATATATCAACACCTGTAAAAGCTGAATGGCTGCCTTAAAAGCCATGTTTTCAAAAATAACCGCTATCTCCTTTTTTCCTTTGTCTTTGCGTAAAATCACAATCCCTAATTAGGGATCAAAACTCAGGAAATTGAAGTTTGCTTTGCTAGAAAATGTCGATATTTTGACTTCTATTCTGTTTTTATCGAAGTACTTACGTTTTTTTTTCTATTGAGTGTCAGTATTTATTTAATACATGCAATTTCAAACCGTCGTGTATTTACATTCGCTCTGCACCGTTTTGTTAAAAATATTTTTGATAGCATCGATATCACATCGGTACGTATCCATACCACTTCTGCGGTATATTTGTGGATGTTGAACGTTCCATAACCAGCAGGGAAGGACAACTCTGAATTCAAAACCGTATGAGACACTTATACCAAATTACGGGTTGCCCTTTTAGCAAGGAATATCACGCAGAAGCCATTCCTACCGTTATTACGTTAATATCTCGGCAGCAGGATGTTAGATGTGTTCCATGGTAGAATCCAACGGACTAAATTTGGCATTCAAGTGAACTGGTGCCATGCAAAAAAGATCCTTCACACTGGACAATGGATAGAATATAATTATTCCGAATCAGATGGAAACTCCTGAGACACATAAAATAGCGTCCTGTGTCTCCTAATATATGCGCAACTGGAACCTCTATAATGAAAAAATGGGAACGTCATGACCGACGACCTTATAGAGGTCGTATTTACTTCTGAAGATCGTCAGATAAAATTCGGCCAAATCGAGTACAATGTGGTTTCTAATCTTTCTTCAAACCTTCGAGCTTCTGTTTGCGAGGGAAGTCGGGCCTTTATATTAATTCTTGTCGAAGATCAGCTGACGTCATTTCATGATTATAGTAATGCACCCAGCGACATATTTTGGGGCACTTTGTTGCAATGAAGTTACCATTCAGTGCAACTCCTCGAGTCTCATAGGTATTATGAAGTTCTGAGATAACACCGTGTACAAAGATGTCTTTCGTTGCTCTTAGAGTCAACCCAGCATTTATTGGGATCAGTACAGATGAGATCAAAGATTCCAGATAGACATTAAATTCGATTTAGACTTTTGTCATCTCTTGACATAAGTCACATACTGCAATTATGGTAAGTTTATTACTCCCGTCCGACTAATGAAAGTATGAAACTGGATCTCTCATGCGTAAGATTATATTTATTCATATATTCAGCACTGGTCATCGATAGCTGCCGATCGGTGTGCGTATATCCATCCTGCACCCCTCATTTGAAAGGTTGACCTTATATTCTCGTGTGCAATGTCTGAGTAATACAAGAGCTGGTATGAATGTTTTATATATCTACCACTGCCGTACGTGCATCTAAGGTGGGTTTGGGCCGATAACATCGGTGTGCACTCGGCAGATAGGAGTATACCTCATGCCAGACCTGTTGCCGGCTTCTCTGAAGGGTACTGTGCAAAATATGTTCTGGCATGATCTGTGGTGAGAAACATGCTACGCGGAATGCACCGGGTTTTGTTGCAGAAAACTTGTCCTCACCAATAGTATGACTGTGTTCCTTCTATTTCGTTTAATTCATGTGTAAATAATTTGAAAATCTTTCTTTTCGCCTCTGTGTGTCCTATAGCAAAAGTATAAAGGTCAATGTTTGAGGCTTAATCATTTATCAGTCAGTTCCATTCAGAAATTATAATTCTACACTTGACTCGGGGAAATAATAGAAGCATATTAAAAAAAATCAACCAATATATTTCAAGGTACAACTGTTACAAATATTTATAGTAATATTATCGGTCTCCTTATAAGGGAATATCCGGCATTCATTGATCGAGCAGTTTGTATTACTAATTTATAAAATATTTCTCTTAAAAAAATTTCAGCAAAATAAACTTCTCAAGTCCAGTTTTTTTGATCGCTCTTTCCAGTTCCAGCATTGATGAGAATTTCCTTCCTAGCCATTTTTTGACGTAATCTGGAATGACAGCATCTTGATTATATCATCATATCCATTTCAGTTGTTGCTACCGTTGAAGGTTCCCAAATGATGTGATTTCTGGTATCTGCCACAATTCTTTTATGATATTGTGGCGCCAGTCCACAAGGTTGAAGGAAGTGTGATTTTTGAGAAAACGCATAGACTTCTCTTGCTCAACGCCATTTTACACCATTGATTCTAGAAAGCGGTTGTATACATCTGTCAGTTTAGATATATTTGAACGGGTTTAGCATCATGCATGACATCCATATGAAAGACTTGATCGGAGGATTCTTATCTTATCCGAGTTTTGAGGTTAATCTTTTGGCTTTGTATTATCTTGTTGGGTGAAACTACATCTAACGCAGCCTAAATATCGTGTGTGTATAAACCCTTCTCTATTATTGTATCAATCGTGTCTATAATCCCGTGGAATTTTTTTTGGTTTTTGTTTTTTTAGCTCAAAAAACAAAGCAATCTAAAAACCGAAAGAGTTAAAAGATTCTGTATCAAATCGATACGAAAGATATATTTTCTTTAATCTTTGTGGTTTTTCTTTATTCGAGGATTTAAGTAAGGTGTCCAAACAGGAGGAGAGAGATTATTTGTAACTTTGGCGTTTTTGTTTGGTTTTGTTTTTTTTATCTTTTATTTTTTTTATTTTTTAGCTTTCGAGAGACAAATAAATGAAAGTAAACTTCACCATAACAAAAAGACGAATGAAAAGCAAAAAACGGTTTTTGTTTTCGTTAAGGCTATCCATTACTCCTGCATATTTTTCTTCCTGTTGTTATATTTTTACCGGTGTAATTTTTCCTTTGTCCTCCGTTTACTTGGTTAAATTCTCTTTTTCTTATGTCACTTTTTGTCTTCTTCTTTTATTGCTCAATTCCACCCAGCCCCGTTCTAACGTATCATTTATTCGTCCTTTGTACATCTTAATACATCATTTTATTCTACACCTTTTCAACTACTTTGCCTTTCTCTCTTGCTTTTTTATTTCTAATTTGTCTCCTATTTTACTGCATTTCTTTCTTTCTTTCTCTTCAACGTATCTCTGCTGCATCTCATTTTCATCGTAACGCCCCTCTGCCTTCCGCTTTAGGCTTTATCTCTTCTTTCCCTTTAATTTGTAGCAGTTATCTCTATTTCGCCTTCTCCTAAACATCGGAACTCTTTGCTTTCTTTCTACATCGTATATCTTCTTTGCCTTCTTCATCACAGGGTCTTATCTCTAATTTATCATCTTTTTTTTCACTTTCCTCTCTAATTTGTTTCTCTATTCCGTCTTCTTCACCGTATCTCTTCTTTGTTGTCATCGTTTCTTTTCCCTCTACTCTTTGCCGTCTTCTCTTCATTGTATCTTTTCTTTTTCATCTTCTCTTCGCCGTATCTCTTCTTTGCCGTCTGCTCTTCATTGTATTTTTTCTTTTTCTTCTTCTCTTCGCCGTATCTCTTCTTTGCCATCTTCTCTTCATTGTATCTTTTCTTTTTCTTCTTCTCTTCACCGTATCTCTTCTTTGCCGTCTTCTTTCATTGTATCTTTTCTTTTTTCTTCTTCTCTTCACCGTATCTCTTCTTTGCCGTCTTCTCTTCATTGTATCTTTTCTTTTTCTTCTTCTCTTCACCGTATCTCTTCTTTGCCGTCTTCTCTTCGTTGTATTTTTTCTTTTTCTTCTTCTCTTCACCGTATCTCTTCTTTGCCGTCTTCTCTTCATTGTATCTTTTCTTTTTCTTCTTCTCTTCGCCGTATCTCTTCTTTGCCGTCTTCTCTTCATTGTATCTTTTCTTTTTCTTCTTCTCTTCACCGTATCTCTTCTTTGCCGTCTTCTCTTCATTGTATCTTTTCTTTTTCTTCTTCTCTTCACCGTATCTCTTCTTTGCCGTCTTCTCTTCATTGTATCTTTTCTTTTTCTTCTTCTCTTCATCATATCTCTTCTTTGTCGTCTTCTCTTCATCAGAACCCTTCTTTTCCTTCTTCTCTTCACCGTACCTCTTCTTTTTCTTCTCTTCGTCGTATCTCTTCTTTGTCATCTTCTCTTTATCTTATCTTTTCTTTTTCTTCTTCTTTTCGTTGTATCTCTTCTTTGTCGTCTTCTCTTCATCGGATCCATTCTTTTTCTTCTCTTCACCGTATCTCTTCTTTGTCGTCTTCTCTTCATTGTATCTTTTCTTTTTCTTCTTCTCTTCACCGTATCTCTTCTTTGTCGTCTTCTCTAGCTCTTCAGTTAGAAATTTTATATAGAAATTATATAGGGTGGTATGATAATTCATGATAATGATGATATTTCAACATTCTAGAAATAAATATCTGAAATTTCATCATTCTGAAAACAACCTTTCCACCAGTGATGATAGCTGATAATGATATTTCATCATTCTAGAAATCTAGATCTAAAATTTAATCACTATAAAAACAACATTTCCACAACAAGCAGTATGGCAGTAGCGGTAGTAAAAAGAACAACACAGACGTATCTACTTTGCTCCGCGAGAATCCATAGTTGACGGTGTCAAAACCTTCCCTTAACCACGAAATTCTCAGAACAGTTATAAACGAGTGAGCCCAAACGTTTAAAGAAACAAATAACCCCAAGAACATTAAACATACACAAAAACAATATTGTAATTAACATTACGAAAAGAAAAATATATATTCTTGTCATTAATTTCAATACGTTTCTCAAAATCTCATTGTTTGACATTGTTGTACGTTTTATTCATCTCAGTATAAAAAAGAGAAAAGGAATCCTCTATCAACTACTAATATATATATCTATATATATATATATATAACACGGGGTAACTTACTGTTATGGTCCGGTTCCTTGTACCACGGTGATAGTCCAAGGTAGAACCAATAAAGAAGAACGCGAACACAGGTATGGAATAACACAGATATATTACAAACAGCAATATATACAGAGAAGTAGAAGTGTTAGTATGAACAATCAGGTTTCGTAGAGAGAACAATGTAGTCTCGGACAGTATCACTATTCTAATGTCTTGCAGTAATTGTCTGAACGCGACTCTGTTTCAGACTGCCTCTGACTCGACTCTTGACTCGACTTGAACTACTGACTCCACTTGAACTACTCCTGAGGCGCAGTATTTATTAAGTATGGAATAGTCCATTATTATTATTATTATTATTATTATGGATAAGATCTCATAACACTTACATTGACACAAACCAACATTAGACCGCATTACAGTGGTAATAAAATAGTCACATCCCATTTCCCCTCTCGCTTGTAACCATCCACTATAATAAAATAAACGCTTTCAAGACGAAAAACTGAAATCGTCAAATAAAGCTTCATTTGCTGCTGCTTAGAATTGTTGCAATATTGCATATAAGAAATTTATATATGAACTTCTAATTATGTAATCACCTCGTAATAATGGTTAGGAATTTGATATAAGAATTATATAAGAATTTGATGTGAGAATTTCTAAATAATTAAATAGGAAATCCGCATCGGAGTAATAATCGTTCTTTGGCGTCTTGTCTTTATAATCGGCGGGACTCGTGCTCTTTCTTAATCTGTAATAAACGGGGTGTTCTTAATAAAAGTAGAGTCGGAAAACTATTTAAAATGTTAAAAAGTGAGGAACTAATAATTACAAGGGTTTACATAATCTTGACGTAGTTGGAATATAACCTAAATAAAAAAAGTAAATAAAGGTTACCAATTTCTTTAGGCACCAAAGACTAAGAATTTTAAGAAAGCAATTCTGCATGAATTTATTGTAGGAATTTTAAATGAGTTTTAAATAAAATACAGGAATATTTTATATAAATTTTTATAGGTTTCTAAATAAAAATTTTATAGGAGTTTCAAATAGGAATTATATGTGATTTTTATAGGAGTTTTATACGTTTTAATAGAGAAGTTATAGGGATTTCATGTCGGGATTATATCGGAATTTTGGAATAATTAAATAGGCATCTCATCTTGGAGTAATGCTTAAAAAACGTCTCCTTAATCATAACTGATAAGAAGTCAGATTGGTCGTCAGTGACAAAAAAAATCGATTTTTTAAAAAATATTTGTATAGATGAATCCCTCATAGAATAAAGCTAGTTTCATATTATTACTTGTGAGTTAATACTTTAAATGAGTGATGTGAAGATGGTGTAAGCTATAGTGACTAAGAAACTGGAAAGCTGAGATCGAATTCTAGCTGAGTCCTTTACGTTCACTTACGCGCAAATACCATTGGGAAAGATATAAAACAATTTCGTCTCCCTCTAGTTTGTGCTAAAAAGTAGGATTTGTATGTGAAAATATCATTGTTATCTCCAAACAAATCGTTAATGCTATATTAACTAATAAAAGAAAGAATTATTCATACAATCCATAATAGATTTTGTCTTTAAATTAGCAACAAAAGGACGATATGCCGTAAAAAATAAACCCGCCAATTTTTCAAAATGCGGTAGTTTGATTTTCTTTATCAAGATGTCATGAATAATTTATACTGTAAATTTCAGACGGTGTCAAATAAAGTCTTGTTTTCGGAGATGATACTTCTTGTTATTGTAAAGAGTTGCTTGCACATATCGAAAGTCCCGACAAAGTCTATAAAGTCTCTCTTGTAAGAAAGTCGCAGAGGAACGTTTAATATTTGTCGAAAAGAAAAAGCCTTCCGAATCTAACTTTATCTGGACGAGAAAAAAAGACGGAAAACAGCAGAAACTACAAACATAGGTATATTTGAATACTTGAATAATGGCTTATGGTCAGAACTTATTTTTCAGACGATGAGACAACGGTTCATATCACTCCACGGTTGATTTCTCAGGGCGGTCGCTCATTGGTCATATCGGCTTGAGAAGACGACCACGACGCGCTTCACCACTGGAAAGCTACACCACAAGTTTGCCCAAGCTTTGTCAGGAAACTTCCGTGGACGAAGGTGTTTTGAAGCTGTAGATGATTGGGTTAGCGCAAAGTCACAAGTCATCGTGACCGAGGGTTTGGGTTTACTGACCTTCTTCAAGATCACTCCAGATAATTCATTCTCCCACCAGAAACTGTAACTAAGGCCTGCTTAGTAAAGTTGTTTTTTTTTAAATAATTTCAGCCCAAGCAAAGCAATAAAACCACTACAACGCAAGGGGTTACTGAGTATGAAAGAATATGGGAAAAAGAAAACATCATTAAGGAACGAGAACAATAAAAGAAGAGGAAAGAAGAAAGGAGAAGATGACGGTTGATATTACATTTAAACTTTTGAACATCAAAGTTGACTGGAATGTACGAAGCCGGAAGAGATTTTCCACGGAAGTACGAAGGAAGAAACCTGTTATCATAGAATTTATGGGTATATCTGACTATTCAACCGTAAAATAATGAGACCTATCTACCAATCTAGTGGTGCGCTTGAATTCGTAAAGCTGCAATATAAAACACAGTTTCGCTATATGGGGGATTATGGGATGCACATGTGCCTGAGCAGCCGTCTGCAACAGGGATTACCTGTACAGCCTATTAGATTTCATAGTTTCTGGAGCCTAATTGAATTTACTATACTGGGTGTACAATGTGTACAGAACTTGTGGAAATCTATAGTAACTCTCGTTCATTCCGTATCAGCTGACAGATTCCGCATTTGAAAGCTAAGTTAAAAAGAATCGGTTAGTCGGTGTTCAAGGATGGGTTGTCCACTACCAAATCACATTTAAGATACATGGCTTTTTCTTTCTGGTTGAATATATAGCTGTGCATAGCGGTAGGAAGTCTGTCTCTGTATATCTCCTAATGTAAAGGAATGCAGATAAAACACCTCACACATACACACACACACACACATATATATATATATATATATATATATATATATATATATATATATATATATATATATATGAGGAAAATTGACCGAAAGAAGCGTTGTTAATATGCCTCATCTTGGCCAGATGCCAAAACTGGTAGACGGTCTTCAGTCATATCTAGAAACACTCTTGGCAACCAGGAGTGAAAATCTCCATTCGCTTATCTTTTAACACTTTTTTTCATTCATCTTTATTTGCTCAAAAGAGCCAAGTTTTAAGATTACTGCATAAACGAATTTTCACCGACACTTAGTTAAACTTAGTAAAAGTCCATAACTAGATTTTACTGATTTGCTTAGTAAATAAACTCAGTTAATATCTGTAGACACTTTAGTGTTTGCCGTTTCAAATTTGTCTCCTGACACCTGTATGTATGCATATATATATATATATATATATATATATATATATATATATAAACACATTTCTGGTTACACTGACCAAATCCTCAAACCTCTATTACCCTCTATTCCTACCTAGAACCCTATTAACCCTAGAACACTAACCATCAATTAAAGTTACACAACTACTAACCATGGGTATATCATACCCGATTTTGAAAATATCAAAAAAAAAAATTAAATATAAATCTTTATTTGAAATATTTTACATGCAGGCACTTCAAAATTTGTACTTTGAATTTACATTAATAGGAAGTGAAAAACATTATTTAGGTAAGAAAATCAAGTACCAAAAATTTTAATTAAAAATAGGGAAATTTGCGCTGGGTACTATATACCCATGGTTAGTGTTCTAGGGTTAAAGACACTAGCCATTTCCTAAGAATTCTGAGTAATATTGAAAGTTTACCTGACAATTCACTCCTTGTGACCTGAGCTGTTTCATCCTTATATTCCAATATCACACATAAGGAGGGTATTCTAACCTGCAAAAATATTTAGGCACCAGAGACTTCCCCGAGCACTCTATACTAGATATTTCAAACATTATATATTTCATACTCACACATAACAACCTCCTGTTCAACGAGCACCATTTTCTTCAAGTTAGAGGCACAGCAATGGGAACGAAAATGGGCCCCAGCTATGCCAACATTTTCATGGATGCCCTTGTACAAGATATGTTTAGTAGATAACACATGGCATCACTACCTTACCACAGGTACATAGACATCTTCTTCATATGGACACACGGAGAGAACAATCTCCTAGATTAAAAAAAAAAAAAAACACGTTAATAATTTCCACCATACCATCAAATTCACTATAGAATATTCTACCACTTCCATTCTGTTTCTGGACACACTGGTACGTCTCAATAACACTATACACCAAGCCTACTGATGGTCATTGCTGCCTTAATTTCAATAGTTACCACCCCACCAACCTAAAATAAATATATATATATATATATAATC